AAATTAAGGCCGAATTCTGGGCCAAAAGCACTGAGTTCTGGGAAAAGGAGACCGAGTTTTGGCGTATATTTGATGATAAGGTGAGACTCGACTGCGAGGCCAATAGACTGGAGACTCAAATCATATATAATATAATTATGCGTTTAATAAATTCCGAAAGATTTTTGAGATCTAAAAGGGGTCTCAATTTGGAAACCATTCATGAGATTGAAGCCAAAGCTGATCTCGATTTCAATAGTATTAGCGATTAGTTTCTAAGTTATTATTATAAAACGGTGTGCTATATCTTTATAAAATTTATATAACATGTTCATACGAAATGAATTATTTGTATAAAATATTATATTAAATTCAAAGCAGTAATATAATAATAATTTTTAAGATTTTTTATTTTTAGTACATTTTCAAAAATAATTTTAGATAATATTGTAAATACTGTAGTAGTGTAGTGACTTGTGAGTTAAAACTTATGTTACATAATCATTTATTGTATAGTATTTAAAATACTGTATTTTGTATATTTTATATAGTAAATTGATATAAGTTTGATTTTTATGAATGAATTAGATTAATATACAGTAGCCTTATACTCATTTATGAAAATTAATTATAAAAGTAATTACTTTTTAATACATTATTATGTATTGTTTTGTTTGAAATAATTGTCAAATTCAAGAACATAAATATGTTTTAAATATTCATAATCGTAATTCACTCAATAGTTGTATGAATTGATGTTTATTTACTAGTATTTCTGATTTTCCTAGAAATTATATTTGTAAAATGGACCAGATTACTTCCGATCAATTATGGTACTGGTTTTATTTTTACTATTGTAAATATTTCATATTACATTTAGTAAAAACCTAATAGGAATTATATAAATACATTTAGTATATACTTTTGCTTACTTTACTAAACATGTTTTCAAAAATATATTCACAATTTGTATGAATTATTAATTATACAGTATTTCTATAACTAATGATAGGAACCAATGGATGCAAACAATGAGAACGAGTGGTTCGGATGAGTTTGTGCCGGAACTGGTCTTCTCTGAACACATGTCTCTCAGTATATACTCGGATGAGTTGAGACAAATCGACGCCTACCTCTTTGGCAAAGAGTTACCATTTGTTGAATTCATCCGCGTTGGCACCGGTAGTACATCTGACACTCAAAACAAATCTGATTCAAATGAAAACCTCACAATTGAACTTGCTAACAACTACAACGTTGATAATAAATCTCATATACAAGATCTTGCAGTATGTTTCACCTGGATCATACTTATTTTATAAATATTTATTCTCAAAATACTGGACAGGGGTCTAGGAATAAAATTGTACCAAATAATGGCGTAAAAAGGGGACAGAGTTTGCAGTCAAAGGAAACACAAATATTAAGTAAAAGGACAAAACGATTCAACAATTACAAAGACCTCAATACAATAATCACCAAGACAAATAATTGTGAGTATTAATAATACAGATATGATTTATTAAATATATAATTTATTTCCATATCTATAGCTAATTATGTAGACAGGGAATGTGTGGTAAATAGTGATTCAGATCTTATTACCTGTGATTTATCCATTGACTGTATCGCAGCAATTGAGACAATTAAGGGTGAGATATATTTTGTGGTCAAATGGATGGACCAATACTACAGTCTAGAGCCTACATCTAATGTATGCAATTGTCGGGCATTACGTAACTTCGCTGCCAATACGGTTGAGTTGGGAACCGGTGTCTCGACTCAACAATATATCAAAAGGACGGGTGAAAAGAAGAGGTTGTGTGACATAGGTGTGCCTGGTTATGGTGGTTATGGTGGTTATGGTGGTTATGGTGGTTATGGTGGTTATGGTGGTTATGGTGGTTATAGCACGTATGATCAATGGACTCAAATCTCTAAGCCAACTGATATACCACTTAATGGCATTAATGGTTATCAAACTGTTGCCAATAAATATCTTAAACATTGTGTCGATCAGAATAAATACTGTTCCCTTTTGGGATTCTATAGGTATGGCCACAAAGTATAGCTTGGATTAACTTTTATGTCTAATAATTGTTATTATTTTGACAGCAAAATAGGAGATAGATATGTGGTCTTCAAAAATGAAATTGATTTCATGCTAAAAGTGTTCACTGAATGGAAAGGGTTGGCTACAGGCGCTGACTACGAAGTCATTGATGCCATCATTGGACACCCATTTCAGACGACACAAGAATTAATGCAATTCCGAGCGCTGTATCCGGAATACAGCAAAGTCTATGTGACTCACTATACCGGTGCCGTCAAACGGCTAAACCAAGCCCTCAAGCAAAAGGCCGGTGCCGTCTGTTTGGTTGTGTCTATGGGCGGGAAACGACATTCACTCGATGCGGTGGACGTACACTCCCGGGTGTTTGTCATCGAAGGGGAGGCGCGGCATCGAAATTGTAATTATTTTCTCAAACATCCCGTTCCCGTTGTAATAATAAAAATGTGTTTTTCTTTATTAAGGTTTTTATTTGGATCCGACGGCTGAAGTGAGAGATCCTAATCCACTGCTTATGAAGATTAAGAGTAAAGTGGCTAAAAATACTACTCTTTTGTGTGGAAACGCATATTTAAGGGCCGGGAGGCAGTCTATCCGGTGGTGTCTCGACTTTATTTCATATGTTTTAAGCGATAAGGATTGGCATAATCTGTATGATTGGCGCCCATTGAGAGCCAAAAATTGATGAATTTGTTAATAAATGGCTCAATTATTAGCCGATATATAGCAGAGAATAATATAATGTAGTTCTTTATGGCACTAAACAAATGGTAGATTTCCAAGAATTGTTTGCTTTTATGTTGAAAACAAGTGTTGAAATAGTTTGAAATGTTTGACAGAATGTCTGAACAGACTCTGTACTAGAATGTAATGTTTAAAGTGTTAAATATTTTCTAGTTCAATTATTATGATCAACATATAATATATAATAAATTTTATTTATATTTAAAACTCATAATTATAATTTTATATATTAATCAAATTATTTATAAAACATTTAGTAAACTTTTGCTGATAAAAAAATAATTATTATAGTAAGCAAATAATTACTAAAACACTGACTTAGAAAACAATTCGTTGATTAAGTATCTGGACAACTTTTTGTAGAGTCATATCCAGTATAAGGCACTGATATTTTTGGTGTTTATCCGCGCAAACACTTTTCACTTGATCCTCCAAATAATCTAATGTGAGTTCATTTGTGTCCAGTTCATCTAAACATTGTGTCCAGCATATTATATTCATAATAATAAACTTATAATACAAATTGAAAGTAAGTAAAATGCAAATTACAAACCAATCAGTCTTTGGGCGGACTCTTTAATTCTGTCATCCATTTCATCATTGATTGTGGGGTTGTATGTAATGAC